TAAATAATTATGTTTAAACATACTTCGTTGTCATTCTCATCCATTTTTATTTATGTCAAAATTTTCACTATCCTCAATGAGAAATTCTTTGATAGGTAACAGTGTAAATGTTTTGTTTTTAGAATATTGTAACGTGTTAACCTTAGCTGCTGAAGCCTCATAATGAATACCTTGGCTGCCGGTAGTTGCGTTCCTTATCTGTTGGGCCCTTAAGGCAGTTAATGTGTTGGATGAAATATCACACTGCTGTCCAGTTGAATGTCATTTACCCAACCACCTGCTTTTGACGATAAAGATCTCCATCATCCCTTCCTGATGACATCGCATTGTGGATACTAGTTTGTTAAAACTTTTGTCTCCATCTTAGTATCAGTCTATGCAAAATTATATATTTTACAGGCCACAAGGATCAGCACCCTTAAGGCTTAGATTTATTTTAGGCCTGGATGATTTTCATGCTCCCCGAAGAGTGAGCATATAGTCTCCACCTTGTCTGTCTGTCCATCTATCCGTCTGTCCATCCGTATGAACCCAGAGGTACTTGTGTGATTTGGAGAACAATGGGTAACAGTAAATTCTCTTAATCCATTATTACTTGTGTGTCTTTTTAAGCATTGTGTGACTAAAAATGGCCAAAAAGATCAAAGGAAAAGTCACATAAGTACCCTTTTGTGAGTACATCCGTTGTCTTGTCCGGAGCATAACTTGAAAACCCTTGAAGATAATTTGTTTAAACTTCACACAGTGGTATAGGGCATTAAGGCGGAGTGCAGTGTCAAAGAACCATAACTCTATTTTGCACCATTTTTGCATTATCTCCCCTTTTAGAAAAATCCTGTCCAGGGTATAACTCTAAAACTATAAAAGATATCAACATGAAACTTTGTAGGTAGATAGATCTCAATGAGTAGATGTGCAGTGCTCAAGAACCGTAACTCTGGCTTGCCTAATTTTGGAGCTATTGCCCTTTGCTCATTTTTAAAATTTGAACTTTGTCTGGAACATAACTCTAAAACTATAAGAGATATCAACATGAAACTTTGTAGGTAGATAGATGTCATTGGGTAGAAGTGCAATCAAAAGAACCATAACTCTGTTCCGCCCCATTTTTGAATTATCTCCCCTTTTAGAAAAATCTTGTCGGGGACATTACTCTAAAACTATTACAGATACAACATGAAACTTTGTAGGTAAATAGATCTCAATAAGTAGATGTGCAGTGCGTAAGACTCGTATCTCTGCTTTGCCTAATTTTGGAGTTATTGCCCTTTGTTTATTTTTAAACTTTGAACTTTGTCGGGGACATAACTCTAAAATTATAAGAGATATCAACATGAAACTATGTAGGAAGATAGATCTCAATGGGTAAATATGCCATGCACAAGAACCATAACTCCATTTTGCCTTATTTTGGAGTTCTTGCCCTTTGTTCATTTTAACACTGAACTTTGTCCAGAACATAGCTCTAAGATTATTACAGATATCAACATTAAACTTTGTATGTAGATAGATCTCATTGGGTAGAAGTTCAGTGCAAAAGAACCATAACTCTTTTAAGCCCCGTTTTTGAATTATTTAACCTTTTAGAAAATCTTGTCCAGGACATAACTCACAAACTAAAAGAGGTATCAACATGAATTTTTTTACGTAGATAGATCTTAATGGATAGATGTGCAGTCTACAAGAAAAGTAACTCTGCCTTGACTAATTTTGAAGTTTATTTGACTAGTCCAAAATTGGTCTTATGTGAGTCAATATCTTTAAAGTTCTTTTACAAATTTTGTTTTTACTATAAAACAGGTCATAGATATTTTTAGCTCTTTGAAATTTTATTCAGACAATTAGAAAAAAATCGATAAATATGAAGAAAAAAAAACACTCGGGCCAGGTTCCCCCAAACACAGATATTTTTTTAAGGCCTATATATAGCAAGCTTATTTGTAAGATATAACTTTTTAGTCCCCTACTGGTTAATCAGGTGTGGCGTCCGTAAACTTTTACTTTAAACAACATCTCCTCATAAACCGCTATACATCCAAACTTTACAGGAATGTTTCTTTGGTGGTCACCATTAAGAATTATTCAAAGAATTAATTTCATGCAGAACTCTGGTTGCCATGGCAACTAAAAGAAAAAACTTAAAATATTTTTTTTTTTTAAAGCTTAGAGTAATATTTGGCATGAAACATCTTCTAGTGAGTGTCTACCAATTTTGTTATCCCCGCCAATGGAATCAGGAGGAGGATATTGTTTTGGCCTTGACCGTCCGTCCGATTCCATCTGTACATCCGATATTTCGTTTCTGCACTAGTTCTCTGCAACTACTAGCTGGAATTCAAGGAAACTTTATAGGAACCATCAATACCAGGAGGAGATTTTATTTGTACACTATCCCCAACAGCACAAATAAATTGATACTATACGATGCTATTTCACCCTATATGAGGCTTATATTGAAAAACAAGCTCGCGATTGATCATATAGTGGCAACTGAGCAGTGCCTGTTCTGGTCCAACCCTTCAATACAGAGTTATGGCCCTTGATTAGTTATGTAGTATGCATATAGAGCAATAATTATTTCTGCGCTACTTCTCTGCATGAAAACTATCATTTCTAAGAGGAGATGCGCATATCCTTGCCTTGTTTTGGTCAGATCCTTCAACACATAGTTATGGCCCTTGATTAATTACATGTATGAAGTATGTATTATAGAGCAATAATGCTATTTCTTTGCAACTGCTGGATTGATTTGAACAAAACTTTATGGGAACCATCAATACAAAAAGGCAATTTGCCTCTCATTGGCATGTCCAGATAATAAATTTGTGATTTTAGACTATACTCTTTTTAGCTCACCTGATCCTAAACCACATGGCCAAATTTGTTGAAACTTTGCAGAGATGTTTCTTGCATGAAGCTTTACCAAAGTTGTTCAAATGCCATGGCAACCAAAAGATTTTTTTACAGAAATCTTAAAAAATTTTCTTGTAAAAAATCGAAAGAGCTAGAGCTTAGATATTTGGCAGTGGATGTCTACCAAGTCTGTTCAAATAAAAGCCCTAGGGTCAAAATTGGCCACACCCCAGGGGTCATTGATTTTCCTTATATGTATATAGTAAAAACTTTAAAAAAACTTCTCGTGAAAATCTTAAAGAGGTAGAGCTAAGATATTTGGCATGAAATATCTTATAATAGATGTCTACCAGGTTTGTTCAAATAAAATCCCAATGGTCAAAATTGATTTTCCTTATATGTATATAGTAAGAACCTAAAAAATCTTGTGACAACAACCAGGCGGTCATTGATTTTCCTCATATGTATATAGTAAGAACCTAAAAAATCTTCTTGTGACAACCAAAAGCACTATAGATAAGATATTTAGCATGAAACATCTTTTAGTGGATGTGTACCAAGTTTGTTCAAACTAGTGCCCAAGGGTCAAAATTGGCCGCATCCCAGGGGTCATTGATATTCCTTATATGTATATAGTAAAAACTTTAAAAAAAACTTCTCGTGAAAATCTTAAAGAGGTAGAGCTAAGATATTTGGCATGAAATATCTTATAATAGATGTCTACCAGGTTTGTTCAAATAAAATCCCAATGGTCAAAATTGATTTCCCTTATATGTATATAGTAAGAACCTAAAAAATCTTCTTGTGACAACAACCAGGCGGTCATTGATTTTCCTCATATGTATATAGTAAGAACCTAAAAAATCTTCTTGTGACAACCAAAAGCACTATAGATAAGATATTTAGCATGAAACATCTTTTAGTGGATGTGTACCAAGTTTGTTCAAACTAGTGCCCAAGGGTCAAAATTGGCCGCATCCCAGGGGTCATTGATATTCCTGATATGTATATAGTAAAAACTAAAAAAAATCATCTTTTGACAATCCAAAAGAGCTAGAGATTAGATATTTGGCATAATAAAATCTTCTAGTGGATGTCTACCAAGATTGTCCTAAAAAAAGCTTTAGGCTCAAAATTGGCCCCGCCCCAGGGGTCATTAATTTTCCTAATATGTATATAGTAAAAACTTAAAAAATCTTCTGGTGATAATCCAAAAAAAGGTAGAGCTTAGATATTTGGCATGAAACATCTTCTAGTGGATGTCCACCAAGTTTGTTCAAATGAAACTCCTAGGGTCAAAATTTGCCCAGCCCCAGGGCCATTGATTTTCTTATATGCATATAGTAAAAACTTTAAAAAATCTTACTGTGACAATCCAAAACCGCTATAGATTTGGCATGAAACATCTTCTTATGGATGTCTACTAAGTTTGTTCAAATAAATGCCCTAGGATCAAAATTGACCTGGCACCAGGGGTCATTGATTTTCTTTATATGATATATAGTTAAAAACTATAAAAAAAAAACTCTTTGTTCAAAAAAAGCCCCTAGGTCAAAATTTTGACCCCACTCCAGGGATCATTGATGATATTACATGTATTCTAAAGACCTAAATAAGCTTAGATATTTGGCACGAAATATGTTCTAGTGTATGTCTACCATGTTTGTTGAAATAAAACCCCTAGGGTCAAAATTGGCCCCTCCCCAGGGGGATTGAGCTTGACAGTTCAAACCCCAGCCAGGTCAAATGTTTTGTTTTTCCCTCTCTTTTTCTATCATCTTTTATTAGCTTACCTCTCACTTAGTGACAGGCTGAACTATTTAATAAAATGGCTGCCAGAGTTAAAATTAGAAACAAAAACATCCAAGACAATATCTTAACCACTGGTTCAGTTTTGAAATAATTTTACACAAAAATTTTCTTGGTGACAGTGTACAAATTTTTTTCAATTTAGCTGTCCCTTGTTTTCAATTGTGCTTCTGGGCGGTGAAAAGGGCTACACTTTGACTGTTCTCAGGTGAGCAATTAGGGCCCTCTGGGCCCTCTTGTTAATAAATTTTCTCCTTTCAGCAGGTATTTTGCAACCTCCCACTGCTTCCCTTGTTTGTTATTTTTTTAATATTTGTTATTTATTTATATATTTCAGGTAGCATGTGATAGGTGTATTCAAAACATGACTGCTGGTTCAGCATTGCTTCATCATTGGCTTCATAGACTACTTGTGCACACATTAACAGTTCATCACCTGTCAAGAAATTACAGAAAGTGTCCCATTTATGTTTAGTACAGGAATAATGTTCACATTGTTTGTTATTACACAGTATACTAATTATTGTTTTAATGTTAAAGTATAACATTTTTAAACATTGTAATACCCCATAAACTTAGTTTGAAGGGGGTGAAATGGAGTCAGTCTGTCCCTTGGCAAATCTGTCCCCACTTGTGAAATCTTGGCAAGACAACTCCTACATTATATGTGTCATGGAATGCAAAAATGGGGTTTCTTGACCAAATTTTTGATTTTCACTTTTTTTAATTTTCTGAATCTATGAAATATCAGAAGTAATTCCTGAAAATTTGAAGGTCGTGTCTTTCTTATTTACAAAGATATACATAATTTGTGAGTATGGTGTCCAGTAAGTAATTAAAAATACACATACAAATCTTTGATCTTTGTGATGTTTAAAGGTGCATGAGGAAACAACTTTTAAGCTAAAATGAATTTTGGTGAAAAAAAATTGTTTTATGTTATTAAAAGTTAATAAATGTTGTAGAATATTTTTGGAATACAGCCACCATAATTAAAAAGCATCATTTACATTATGTTGCCTAGCAACGGACCTATTCCTGGGTTCTTCCTGGCATTTTGCGTGTAAAAAGTTATGTGTAGGTTTATTTTTAACATTGCAAGTATCAATACGAAATATATTCTTCTTTCACAATTTTACAAAAAATGGTTCTATTGATTATCTTCCTT